CTCTTTCCAACTGAAAATAGCATATTATTGCAAGTTTTTCAAACATGGGTAGACCCGCTAACAATCGGCATTTGCCTCCCTTCCCACTGGCAAAAAAAAAAAAAAAGCTGGGTCTAACCCCTAGCTGGCAAGCTGCGTGGCCTCTGCCCCCCCCACAGCTGCGTGTCTGGTGACACCATCATGCTGGGTTAGCTTTGTGCAACAGAAATAAGGAAATTAAACAGTGGAGAGCAACATGTAAGGAAGCCAGGGCGTAGTCAGCATAGCTTTATTGTTTCACTCTGTTATCTTTCCAAATCTGTCTCACCAGTCCTGGGCCAAATTTATCGAATGTAAACAGAGTTGTTTCAGTTTGTTAAATCAGACGTGGCTGGCGCAATGTGCTGACATCTATGCGTTGCGTTCAATATTGTCACATAGTCTAGCGGGTCAACCCGGCTTTTGTTTTCCCACTGGATGCCGATCAGAGCTGAGGCGATTTTAACACCGGTCGCATGCCGAGTCATTTCACCCGGATAGAAATGCATCAGAGAGCTGTTTCCACCGCCACTAAAAGCAGATTGTTCCCAGGTTTAAACAGGTTTTTCAGGGAGTGGGAAAGGGGTATAAGAAATTTAACAACAATTCCTGATTTATTATAATATGGGATTTATGGGAAATGAAAATATTCACAATATTCTCTATTTAAAAGTTTAATAAAACAGTAAATACATCAAAATTGGTCCAAAGTGGTGATCATCCGCCAATCTAGAACAATAATTTGTTTCAGTTACTCACACAGCCTAAAAGGCCACAGAGGCCTTAGAAGGTTGTTAGAGAACATTATTGAACAAACAGTATCATGAAGACCAAGCAACAGAGCTGTGCAGAAGGTTATAGCAGAGTTAGGTTAGGAAACAATATCCATTTATTCATTTTATGAATCCCTATTTAATCCATTATCTGAGAGAGAAAAAAGCACATCACAACAGCAGAGCTGCCAAGACATGGCCATCCAACAAATGACAGGCCAGGCAAGAAGAGCGTTAATCAAAGCAGCAGCCAAGAAGCCAATAATATTGTAACTCAGGAGGGAATCCAGAGATCAGCAGTTTACCATAAGAATACCCGTGGAACAATGTGCTATGTTACAGTAAAATAGGAGCAAGGCAGCAGTAAGAGACAGCAGAGAACTTGACTCTAGGGAGATTTGTCTACCAAGGGGACGATGACTCAAAAACAGAGCTACAAGAGTATTGTTTGGATCAAAGTATGTGTATTTGCTAGAAGGCCCTGGACCTAGATTTTGACAAAATGTAGATAATTTATGTACCTAGATATTTACTGTTTAATGTGTCTGTCTGTTTTCGCAGAGTAAAACAACAACAAAAAAACAAATAAAGATTTAATTCTCTACATATGAAAAGACTGGTAGAGAGACAACCTCAAAGAATTACAGCCACAATTGCAAATGTGGCTGTAAACAGCATGTATCTATTTCCTTTAGCTCCAAGTTTATCTTTTTGATTTTTATGATCGTCTATAGCAAAAATTTATGAAGAACTTTGACATTTGCAGCCATGAAATGACGGCTTAAACCTCAAGCAATGTAGCTCAAGCTTAAAGCAAATAAAATTTACATAATCGCATTTAACATTATTCTCAATGAACACATCTCCATTGTGTCAATGCTAACAATTACCTGTAATGAATTTATTTAGGGCCAGAGAAGCCAATTAGCTCTGGAGATGCTTTTTCTAAAGCATTCTCAAAGGAGCTGTTAAACAATTTGTGAATGGTATTCAGAGTGTTTACCCCATAAAGCTGTACATCAGGCCAATCGGCCCATGGAGAAGGATTTTCTTGTTAATGAAGTGTGGAGCGGAGCCACTGAGGACAGTGTACTGTATGTCACCAGATTTACACCACGGTGGACCTGTGTTCCCTACAGCTGTAAAACAATGAGGATGTGATTGGAGTAAATTACACAGCAGTTATCAACATCCAAACCACTCACCTGCTTCTCATGTTTTTTTTTCTTTCCTTTCTTCTATTACAAATTATTTCTGTCTTCTACCACTGGCTTACACATGTACAGGCTCATTTTCTCCAAGCCCCCTACGCTTACTTTATTCCTCTGTGACATTCACTCAGTCACTATTTTTCAAATGTCAAGAGACAACACAAGGGCATGACCACGTCACACTCTGATTAAGTGCTCTTTTTTACTTTCTTATTACTCACATCCTGCTGTGCCCTCTCTCATATATTGTCCTTTTTGCAACAACCATTAGAAAAATATTATAATACAAGTTTCTTCGGGCAGGTGTTATAGTACATCTCCACTCCCGACCACTGACATGTGTTGCATATACATATGGATAACGGTCCTTATGTTTCAAGGACAAAGGTAATTTCTTTATGAAGATCAAGTTAGGGTTAAACTAAACAGATTTCAATTCAGGGTAGGAAAGTAAATACGTGTTAACTTCAGAAAACATGGCAGATGGAACGTTATCTATCGGTCTTTCAAATTCCAACAGATAAACAAAAACATTCATCCCACAAAAATATTTAGATTTCAAATTTTTATTCTAGCAAGATGTTATATATAAATAATTAATATAAAACTAAGCATGCAATTATCTAAATGGGAAAATTTTAATAACATATCTTTGAAAGAGCAATTAACTGCCTTTTTTTCTGAAGTGGATCATTTGTGTATTTACAGTTATATTCATATTATGTATAAATTTATCAGGTCTATTATTAGTTTTTATGTTTTTAGCTATTTTATAGTAAAGATAAAAATCCTCAAATACCCCAGAAATTTGGAGCTGAATGCAGTAAAAAAAAATATAAGGATGCAATTGAATATAAAAAGATAAGGAAACATAACTAAACAGGAAAAATGAGACTAAGATACATCCGTATTCAGACAGAAGGCTGGCATGTATAAAAATGGCCAATAACCCAACAAAATTACTCCTGTGAGAATTTTTCGCTGCTATATTGGTGCCTAGTGTAAAATATCACAGTCACAGCTGAAGGTGTAGGTAATGTTTTCTTTTCCTGATGAATACTATTAATATCATATGACAAAAAAAAAAAAAAAAAAACAACATTCAGATCGCAGGATCAAATCGTAAAAATGTATATTTTGCTGGTGGTCTTATGTTTTCATTTGACATTCAATTTCCTTTTCATTTTTTCTTTCTTTTAGGGTTGAATTTAACTTTTTTTTTTACGTTATTCTTTACAGTACCTTTGCTAGAAGATAACTATTGTTAAGAAAGAGGTAAATTATCCTGGTTTAAGCTTTTCACAAAACATATAGGGGAAACAAAAATGATTTAAAACAGGTTCAGGTCAGAAAAAAAAAACGAAAATGGAGCTTTTTGACCAACATACAAAGCCTCTACAAGTTGCAGCAATCTAAGACAACACATAACCCCAGTCATGCCATCCACACTGTGAAACATAGAAGTAGCAGGTACATGCTTTGGGGAAGCTTTTTTCAGCATGGACTGGTAACATGAGTTTATGGGAAGTTGGGTGGACCTAAACACAGGGTAATAATGAACAAAGGTCTGTTAGAAGCTGTAAATGACGGAGGACTGAGGTGGAGATTAACCTTCCAGCAGACAGTGACCCTTAACATACAGCCAAAGCTACAGTACAATGGAATGATTGGGAAAGAAGCAACCTATGCATCTTTAAGCATAGGCACAGTCAAATATGGAAATCTGTTTGGCTGTAACCTCAACTCCTAATAAAATAATCTGGTCTGTGGTTTAAAAATGACAGTGTAAAATTTAGGAAGCTTCCATTACGACACTCTCCTACATGCTGCAAAGCCCCAGAAAACAAAACAAAACAAAAAAACCCAAGCCACTTCAAGTTAATGACTTGACTTAGACAGAAAACCTTTAACCAGTCTGTCTTTATAATTTGATTGTTTTGTAAAGTGCTTTGAGTTAGGAACTGGCACTATATCAACTGATATTTTCATTGCCTTTATTATTAAACTGCAATATTTGTGATTTGGACCTAATTACCAATTATAGTACATTTTCATCTGATAACTGTGCTGGAATAGCTGAGGTCCTGATGTGTTTGTAAAGATAGGATTTTTTGAATTGCAAATGCCTGATCCACATGCCAATATGAAGCAGTCTTCTTCTGGGGGCAGAAGTGGGACAGAAGATGTATGTGAAACGAATGCCATGATGGGGGGGTAAAAATTGAGGAGAAAAGGTGATGAAAAATGAACAAGGATGATGATGGAAAGGGAAGTCTTGGGGAGAAGAGGGAGGAGATATCATCAGTTAGAAGCAGAAAATGAGAGCTGGGAGGAGAGGAAAGGTGCAGAAAGGAAAAGATATTACTCGAAGAAAGGGTATGACGTGGGTGCGACAGACAGGAATAGAAGATTAATTAATAGTCAAAAAATGCAGGCAAGGAAGGTGTGGAAAGAAAACCAAAGCAAGTGGGCTTCTATACTTGACATAATAGGTTAGATTTTTTACATTATTGCCAATTTTATTATTTTTATTTTTTTACAAGACCATAACTGCAGATAAAGTAAAGGCATGGGGAACAGGGATAGATGATAATAAGGAAAGAAGAGTAAGAATGGCTAATAGCCATACAGAGGAGAGAGAGGGAGAGACACTGGAACAGAAACGAAGCTGCAAAGTGAGAAAGAGCCAAGCAGAAACTCATTATCTAAAGGCGAGAAGAGGGTTTCCAAGGTGATTTCACAAAAGGGAATTTAGAAGGGGTATTTGCTAACACATGCGTCTTCCGTTTCTCCCAGGGTTCAAGTTATACAGCAAACAAAGTTTAATGACTCATGGGGTTACTGCACTGCAACTTCCCTATGACAGAACATTAAACAAACAAAGTTCAAGCTTGCAGGTTTGCACTGTGTGCAGCTAAAACCTGTTATGGCCAAAAGGAAACCCCTGAGATTAAAAGCGCTCTGTATGCGAACACCATGCTGGACATATAACCCTCACCATGTATGAGCGACAGTGAAGCGCCTCTGCTTGTGAATGTTATTGTTGAGCAACATGCGTCGCAGCAGTCTTGGCGAGTTGCGGGGAGAGAGGCGCGGGGAGATGGAGGACGGTGAGCGCCGGTGTCCCCGCGGCCTCTCTGGTTGCAGCAGATTCTCCCGTAGGATCTTCACCAGGTCTTCATTCAGGCCGGAGTGTTTGGGCATAGGGGGCACTGCCAGGGTGTCCTGGTGGGCCACCCCTGTGCCTCCCTGCTGCGCCATGCCTACCCCGGCTTCACCACCACGGCCTCCACCAGAAGCAATGTGGATTAGATGTGAGTATGATTGAGAAAAATGTCAAAGATAAGGTAAATTCAGCGCTACAGGTAGCACTTTCTACAAAGAAGATCTGTGGCAAATCTGAAAATAGCAGTAATCCAAAAGTCCAAGTTTACACTCTGATGAGGTAAAAAAAAAAAAGAAAGAAAATCTGCAGGTAATTTCTCAGACTGTCATCTTCCTTTCGCAAAACTAGATGAATTAAAAGAGATGAGGACCTCCCTGTCCACCCTTATTCTCCATGAACAAAAAAAAGGCACAGCAGCAAGCTGCCTTTGTCTGCACAACACTGGATGTCTGCAGTAAAAGTGTAAGAGAGAAGACGAAGGCAGGAGGAAAAAACACCAAAGGATGCAAGGTAGAAGGGAATTCCATTCCAGCCTTCTATCCTCCAAACATGTAGAAGAACTCCTCCCAATCCAGGAGCAGAAATCCCAGGAAGAGTTTAACTTTGCTAATTCAGTCTATTTGATCCCAGAGCTGCATGCTAAAATTCTATAGGGGCACATGTGGGTTAGCCAGAAAAAAGAAAAAAAAAAAAGAAAAAGGAAATAAAATTAAAAAAAAGCAGAGAGCAATATGGACAAGTCCAGTTAGGTCAGCAGAGCTCTGGTTCCCTCAGTCAAGCAAATTCTCTTTCCCTCCCTTCTCTCGCTACCATAAGAGAATGACTGCTGACTGCAGCCAGCTTATAAGCTACTGCTCCTTTAGAGCTGAGCAGAGCGTGAGCATGTGTGAGTGTTTGAGAGAGAGAGGGAGTGAGGAAAAGAGAGAGACAGTGTGTGAGTACGCAGAGAGAGGGGAAGCCGGCAGGAATATGGAGAGATGGTGCGCATGAGCGACAGTCTGCAGAAAAGATTGTATACATATATGTATGAGGTAGATTCATCTTAATAAGCATTTTTTTCAAACTGAGTGCAGTTAAGTAAAGTTGTTACATTTAGACTCAGTTGGTGGAATGATTCCTTTTGTTGGGAAATTACTTCCTGTATGTGAACAAATGAGCATTTCATTTGAATATAAATTTGCACACAGTGCAGAAAACAAGAACATATGCAAAATCCCTACCAGAAGTAAAATGGCATCGAACCATCACTTCTGTCGCTCCCTTTCAGTGTGTTTTGAGATGCTTATATTGTGTCTGAAAGCATTTTCAAGGTTCCCATCATCTAAATCTTATAAACTCCACAATCACATCATTTTGCAAACACTCTGTATAAAAAATTACAATAAAGTTTGTCCAAGTCCAGTCTAAGTCAAATAGCACCCGTCAAAACATTATTTCCACCTTTTTTCCCCCTTTGAATTGATTTCCCAATCGTCCCTGAGGGGACTTGAATTTAAAAGATTACCTTGTGGGAAAACTAATCAGAGAAACAGACAGTAAACAGTAAACGTTGAAAACTCACAAATCCTACATGCTCCTGATCAGAGAATATATTAAACCAAACTCTACCAGGTTATGGTGACTAAAGTCTTTGGTCTAGTAGTCAGCTTACTACAGGAAAGACAAAGAACAGAGATGCAATAAGCTATTAAAGAGCCTGCTTTACATGTTGAGACATGTTTGCAGCTCATATAGGTCCAAGATAAAAGAAGAGAGTAGGACATAAAGCAGATAACAGGAAGGCTAAATATATCATGGCTTATTTGCTCTTTTTACTCTTTTAAATTTAAATTTGTTTAAAAAAATTTCAAAATCATACAATCTTGAGGTCATGGAATTAGCTATATTCATCACTCCAACTGCGCCAATCACAAGTATAATATTCTCAAGATACTTAAAAATGTCAACTTTCTGTAAACTACAGAAAAGGAAGAAATGCTTTGAATAATGATCTTACATCTTTTAGTGCTTAAAGTAATTACAGCCTAACTACAGCCTTGTTCTTTCAGTGACCAAACATTTTTTGCTTATTTTTTATTTCTTATTTTAACCAACCTAAATTATTTTTTTCAAGCCGAGCTGCACAATATATATGAAATCACAGTTGTCACTCCAGTATCATTTTGTACAAAACAAGCAGAAAATCACTGCTTGAACTGCCTTTAATGTGCAACAATGATTTTCAATGGCTGCGATGTGGAGACACTGAATAACAATGTTGTGAAAAAAACATGGTTTAATTCTAATCACACCAGGAAAGTCCTTTAATTTTGTAATTGTTTCAGACTAAAAGTGCACTTTATTCATTGAGGTTTGCTTTAACATAATACTATTTGCAAGTGAGCTACAATTTTTCACATTTGGTCTGAGAGTAAAATTAAAAACTAATGAAACTGTCCAGTTTTCATCGTTTTTCACATGAGCATAGAGCATATAATTGTTGACTGGTGCGATTCATCGAATAAGCCTTTTTTTGGTGTGATGTCATCGCTGACCTTCTGCTGTGCTGGTAGTTCTTCTCTGCTCTGAGGCAGAACAGCAGCCCAGCATCAGTAGCGTCACTGCTGATGTTTACAACATGTCAACAGGCAACTAATACCTTAAAGATAACCTAAAAAAAACTCCCTCATACCATCCCAGGCAGAAAAAACTGGGGAGAGGAGCACACTGTGTACACAGCTGACCTATGTTTTTCTGTGTATGAAAAGGGTATTGTACCATAGATCCTGTAGTTGTAATTGACCTAGAAATATACAAAGAGGCAGTGCATGTTGATTTAGTTTATTCGTAAACTCAGGAAAATGGTCAGGTTCCCTGAGACATGGACCAAAGCCCAAAACCAATACAACTCAGGATGACTGAAGATTGCAGTTTGTCTTTGCACTTCCCACACACAATGTAAATGTTGAGAGGGGTTTTCTCAGTGACGCAGAGCCAGTGGAACAAGAACAGCAACCAAACTGCGCAAGTTCCACTTCACAATAAAATATGGAAGGAAAGACATGAGCATTAGTAAAGAATTAGGATGAACAAGCAAGCCGAAAAGTTGATTAAACAGATTTTTGTTTTATGAATGAGAACCTTTGTGAGAATGTTACTTTGGTATTATATACAATATATTTCATAATATTATTATAGCATACAAAAAAAAAAATAACAGAATGCTGCGATTATTATTGCATAACAAATAATAGAATACCTTTATTCTCCAAATATCCTTTTGGATCTTTTTGTACAATTTAAATAGAAAAATAGAAAGGAGACATTTTTTTCAATAATGTAAGTCTATTAATCTAGCCAACTCTGTAATCTATTAAATGACTTTTGAAACGCAACCTGAAGGGCGATGTTTCACTATTCTTTCCAATTGCATTAAATACGATCGAGCTATATGTCTTTTTTAGGTCATCATTTTGCTTGATGAGAAAGAGAAACTTCCCAATGATAGCATTTCAGGAAGAACTGAAAATACAGATTTCAAAACATAACACATCATCTCTCCACATACCATTTGCATTCCTAAGCTTTATGGAAACAAGACTAATGCACTCCTTTCCCTCACAGCACAGTGGTGATATGAAATGACCTCTATGCCATCAGCTCTGATGTTTACATGCTCATAATAATGTTAATGCACTGTAATTTACTTATGTTTGTGTTCACAAATGTAGCTCGGAGTGTTCAAATAATCACATCCGAAAGCATTAAGTGGTTCAGCTGATGTCAGTGGGAAATGAGCTTCCGAGGCACTTCCCCTCATCCTGTTTTACCCCACAAACTGGGGAGTCAAGGAATGTGTCCAGGCTCAGTGACTTTCTGGAGGACAGCTCCTAATATGTAAAACCAGCTCATGTTTAAGGCATGGGGAGATGTTCCTGCCTGATTTACAACTTTGATGCACAAGTAAGAGTCTGTAATATTAAAAGTGGCACCCACCAATATCCAGCAAATCCTTATTCTGGGTGTAACATCTCCAAGCCTGTTTTTTTAGCTTACTGTTTTATCAATAAATAATGAGGGAGTAGAGTCTTAAGATATTTGTGAAATTAAACAAACAGCATATTTAGAGGCTATATCAAAGAGAGGAACACACACCACATGATGTTTTAACTAAGATATATTTTCCATTAGAAGTAAACATGCAAACAAACATCAAGAGTTGCATTTTTAACTGTATCTTACTAACGTTTATTGGTTGTCACTTGTGTTTACATAATATCACAGCAAGAATGTGTGAAATGCAAAGGGAAAAGAAGCCAACTGGAAAAAAGATGACAATATTCAGTCTGGGAGCCCACTGCCTGCCACTTTATGCCAGTTAAATGTGCTGTTACATAATATTGAGTCAAACTTAAGTAGATTATCCTGCAACAAATTCAAATAATATCTGAAATGAAAACCAAACTGATCCAGCAAAACACTTAACTAACTACAAAAACCAATTCTTTTATAATGCAGTATAGAATGCAATGAGATATACTGGCAATATTGTAGAGACCTTTGAAATTAAAGATGCCTCCATCCTTGCTGCTTCCTGGAAAACATAATGTTAATACAGCTACATAGGACATTAAAAAAAAAGTCTTTCTATTTAATTAATTTAATTCCAAGAACAGAAAATCCTTGATCACAGAATTATTGGTATTTCAAAAATCCATTTTAAAATTACAACACTACTTAGTAGCTAGTGACATATTTATTTAGTTTAATTTTACAAGTCTTTATTGGTCATTTTGCATGTGCACGAAGAACAATAATGGATTCCCTGCTGTTCATTAAACAAATAAAAGAAACAGGTTAGCAAAGCCATTGCCTCTGCATTTTCTTGCACTGCTATTCTTTTCCATTCGATTTAGGATTTAATTTAAAAAGACAGAGCCTATCCAAAGTACAGGATTGTCTCACTGCGCTCTCCTCTCTTCAGCTCCATCTACAGGCAGTCAAGAATTAAAGTCTGAGGACAAAGGCTGACATAACATCTAAGTGGTACATTTTAGTGCTGATTTTTTTAATACATTTATCATTACCCTGATGAAGCGTTACATTTAAACTTTTATACATATTTTATTAGTGTCAAACAGACCCAAGAAATTAAAGATCCTCCACCATACTTAACAGTGGGCCTGTGGTGATACTGGTGTATTCATCTTTTGTTTTACACAAGAATGACCTAAAGTCTATCCATTAATCTATTATTACTACTGGATAACTATAGTTATATTTGATCCATGGGGGTGTTTCTCATTGTTAAAGCAGCATTTGTAAACACTGGGCATAATGTGGAAATCCTGTTGGAGTTTACCTTTAAGCTATATTTGGGATTCTGTAGCATGATAAAACAGGTGGACTGATTGTGATTCTTGTTAATGGCTGAGAAAGGTGAGTATGACAAGACCCTCAGTGTCACTAAAGAAGAACATCAAAGGAGAATCTGCAAAGAGAGATTCATGTGAGTCTCTGATCTGCATAAAGAGTGAGTCACTGTTGGCAATCATCTTTCATACAACTGTCACTTGGATAACCTACACAGAAATATGCTAGGAACAGCCTTCACCAGTTGTAAACCAAAAAAAAAAAAAACTGATCAGAGTCATATAGTAGTTTGTATCATGGAATTTTATAACAGATGGATGGATCTTCTTTTTTAGCCAATTTGTTTGTCGGGAAAATCGCACCAAAATGCTACATTAAAACATTGATGTTGCTGCCAAAATTATCACCTGTCTTTCATAGTCATTAAATTCTCCTGTTATAGGG